AGTTAATAGGAGACCAAGTTAAAAGAATCTACTTATATAAATGAAATATACATGATCTTAATGGTTTTTGTAAAGCTTTACTTTGGTATTGTATTCATGGAGGTTTGTAGCTTAAACAGTGTTTTCAAGGGCCCAAAGAGACTTTTTCCAGAGGAACTTGAAACATCTGGCAACTTTCCAATAGTATCAATGCAAGGGTATCCCTGAATACTTTCCTATGTATTTTCAAATATGGATATAGATAATCAGCTAACTCTAGTATCTTTATGGGTCTGATTCTCATCTCAGCATTTAAAAGGTTATCTCTGTATCCTTTGAAGATGTTGAGATCTTTTGTTCCCCTTCTATATTAGTGTACTGTATACCCAGCTCTTCCCAGCCTGGTCGTCCTCAGGGCAAAGTCTGATTTCATGTCAGAATTATACTGATGCTTACCTTTGTATTTGCTTCAGGACATATTGTTGGGTATGATTTACACTTCATGTGCCCAGACTAAGGTCTTATGTCCTCTGAGATTGTCTCTAGATTTCTGTTTCCTCCTATTTTGCTGATTGTCCTAGACTCTGTTTTTCTAGGTGGATTTATAACAATTGCATTCTCTTCCAATATGAACACTGTATCATTGTTTTTTCAGTTCTCTGCACAAAATCTCATGTATAATTGAATTCTGCTCCTGGATGCCCCATATTTTTGCTGTTCCTTTTCCCCAATTCAGGTGCAACACTGGTTCTAATAATGTTAGGTCCAACAACATACGCAAACTATGGTAGAAAATTTCCCCTCTTCCCTGATAGCAGTAAATACTTTATCATTTTTCTTAGACTTGGCTAAGCAAGGTGATTTTTTAAAAAATCTTACCAACCTTTACAGAGTTTCTGCTTTAAAGTATACTCTTGATTGCTAGCACCTGGAAATATTTTTGTTACATCTCTGTCTTGGAAGGCTACTTCTCCTTGGGAAAAATAAAGGGAGATGTGGGGGAAGCACAAGCTGTTTTTAACTCAGGGAGAATGGCAGGTGAGATGCAGCATCTCAGATGACCTTACCATTTGCAATGAAGAAAGAATGGCAGATTTGGTTATAGATCACACAGTTTAACAGCACTTAACAGCAGAATATTAGTCAGATATCAAGTATACTTAGGGATCACGCATTGAACTTAAAGTAGTTTTCACTGCTTTTATAATTCAACTTTTGTGCAGTTCCTAACCTAGACTTCTGAGAAGAGTATAGACTTTAGAATCAGAAATTCTCAATTCAAATTTTAATAACTATCTGGATTATTTATCTTTTTGGACACATTTTCTTTATCTGCAGACAGAAATACTATAGTGACACTGGGCGTCATAAGGAACAAAATGAGATCATTTATATTTTACTTATTTCTAAAAAACATTGTGTAGCCTATAGTTAGGTACACTAAAACACATTCTAACATAACCGTATAACACCTCTACATGTCCAGATACACCCATCTGAGAAATAATAATGGCAGCTAGCTTTACATTTGCTGTTTATACCAGATGTTATTCTAATCACTTTGCTCCATGAGCTCATTAAATTGCTTAAAATGTAACAGTGACATACAAATACTTTGTACCTTGAGTGAAAGGAGAAAAGAGATGAACCATGAGGAGTATATGGCACTGAGACATTACTGCCTTGACAAAATGAATGAGGAAGACTAAAATACGGCATAGGCTTCTCCTTGTTTCTTCCCTATCTCACACTAAAGGGCTTCTTGAAGGCAAAGACAAAATGAAGTGAAAACTGCGTTAATTTTTGATTATCCAATGCTGCTGTTATTATTACTATTATCTTCCTCGTCATCAATAGTGATTGATATAATAAGCTTGAGTTATTGTTCTTTATTTTCTAAACTCTATAATCCCTAAGGAGAAAAATTTAAATTTAACATTATTTATGTTGTTTTTACTGAATATATCTGCCTTTATAATTGTAAGAGAATCAAAATTATAATCCACGCTTTCTATAATTTGCCTAGCTCTTGTTTAGTATTCACACACCTATAACGTCTTGACAGTCAAGCCTTGTGAAGGCTTTAATTTTCTGAATGTTTTGAATGTGCATAGTAAAATCTATTGCTTCTCTCTATACCACCTACTTTATATCAAGCTTGATTATGCTAGCAGAACCTTCTTATTATAGCTTAGTTTCACTGAACTCTCCCCTATGATTATAATTTGTCACTGCAGTCCCCAGTGATAGAGAAATGTTAAAAAATGGGAAAGGAAACCAGAAGTTTAGAAACTTGGGTCTTGTGATACAGTGGCTTTAAATTACCCTTTCAGCCACTCCTTATAGTTCTTCTGACAGTCAACTTTACCTGGTATATGTCCATATTTCTACATACAACCAAAATATATTGTACATTTTTCTTTTTTGTAGGATGATTCCGTTCAAAATTACACCCATAATTTAAATGTAGCAAAACTCTTTCTCATTTTAGAAAATCAGCAGAGTTGGAATCATTAAAATAACATAGCACTTCTGACTTTAAAGATTTCAACAGCAATTAAGATTTTTTCAAATAGTGTATGATATAAAATAGCAAATAGTTCACAATATAAAAAAAACGGAGTAGGCAGGAACAGTGGCATATACCTACAATCCTTATTCATGGAGTCTGAGACCAGAGGATTGTTGAGTTCAAGTACAGCCTGGAAATTTAGAAACTTACTAAGATCCTGTGTTAAAATTCTAAAAACACAAATAAAAAGGGCTGCGAATGTAGCTCAGTGTGAAAGCCCTAGATTGAGTCCCTAGTAACACAACAAAAGAAAGGAAGGGAGGGAGGGAGAGAAGGAAAGGGGCAGAGAGGAAGAAAAGCAAATAGTTCATGGTGTAAATTTTCTAAGAAATAAAGAATGATTGTATGTATAGAAAATAGGCATTTCAAATAGAGAATTTTGAGAATTGATAACTTATATGCCTTCACATTTATTTTTCATAATGTACTTGTTTTTACCCTATACACTGAGGTAATTTTCTTTTTTTTGTCTCTCTCTCTCTAGTCATACATACTATCACTCTTGTTTCCGCACACCGTGTGCTTAGCCTGGATTCTCCCAAACTCAGCAACTCAAATCCTGAGTAAACAGCCAAAGCTGCCTTATATATCTGTATCTCAGGGACATGTATATACAGCATCAAAAATATGTTAAAAAACACCAGCTCAGGAATCTCATCACTGATACTTTATTGGCTAAATGTTATAAGCAAATTTAGATTCAGAAAATGTGTGAACTATACTTTTTTTTAATACATGCAAATGAAAGAGTAAAACACCAGTTGAGTATCACAGAGACAGAAGCTCCATTTTGCAAATTAAACCTTGCCAATAGTTATTTATGACTATATGGAAGTGTCCATGGTTTAATACCATATAGCAAAGTTTGATGGTGATACAGAGCTTTTCCACAGATTTTCCTTTTTTCTGTACAGCGTCCTAGTTCATCACAAGGAAAGGAACACTCGATGCCTATGAATGTAATTATAATTTTAAGCTTTGATACTATTTTGGCAGCCTCACAGGACATTATAGTTTTCCTTTCTCAAAACCTGGCACTTCTATTTAAATAGAGGATTTCCATGTTTTTTTTTTTTTTTTTTTTTTTTTTTTTTTTCAAAAGTGAATCTGTATCTCATTCTTATTTACCTATACTAAATTTAGGGCTTAAAAAAAAAAAATCATTGTTTTAGCCGGAGGAAGTTAACGCTAAAACTCCATGATTTAGAAGAAAAAAAGAGGCTAGAGAATTTGATGCAATGATGCCCCAAGCCTAGAGGAAGAAAAAGTGCTGGCAAACGTGGGCTGATGCCCAATCTCTCTTGCAGATGACAGGCTATCACAATGACAGATTTTAGTGTCACTCTGGCTTAGAATCAGACACTTCGCTACCTCTGCAAGAGTATAAAGAAGTTAGAGATAATTTATGTAATAATTCTTATTTTTTGTAAGAAGACAAATCCCTCATATATCTTCCATACTTTACCATGCATAAGAGACTAAATGAAATATTGTACACTGTATCTTGCATAAAATAGAGCTACAGTATTGTTTCCTCCACAAATCCACACCTTAATGAAAACACCCTTTAGATCATAATATGAACTTTACAAAGTCAATCTGGTTTTTTTCCTAATCTGCCTATATGGAGATCATACTATAAAAAGAAGTGGGTGGTCTAGATGGATTATGAAAGAAGAAAACAAAAATTTGCTGTTTGTAACTTTTAATAGTTACTGATGTCACCACTCTTTGTATAAAAAACCATCCATTCTGACATTGAGTACTTTATGTAAAATTCCACATAAAGTTGCAGAGTTGTTCATTAAGTAGATGTGGGAATGAATTATTTGATGTATTGCAATGATTTTAATAAGAAATTAACAAAGACTCTGCCAAATCAAACAAATAAAAGGTGAATGATACACATTTAGAGTTTTTCATTAAATAATTTGGAAATAAAGTGCTTACGTTAAAAGCCATTGGTCATTTGTGAAACACCACTATCTTTTCATTCATCCTTTTAGAATTAAAGAGGTCTCAGTTAACTGAAAATGTATAAAACAGATTAATCATTGTTTAAATGATAATCCATTTCAATATATATTTCAATATTTTATTTCCTTTTAATTGTCAACTAAAAATCTTAGCTTATATTTGAAAATGATTTCTTAAACAAGAATAACTACATTATTCAAAGTTGCCTGGAATTCAGCAAGTTTAATTTTAATAATAATAATAATGAAGTTAGATTACTAGCTATGTAGATATTCTTCCTTCCTGAGCAATCTCATCATTCAAGGTTTATGTCAGTACTGTAAGTTGTCTCATAAAGAATGTTTACTCATCAACCAGAAATGTAAAACTTTCTAAAATTAAGAAGTACAGATTAATTTCTACCAAGTTTAAATTTAGCAATATATTTTTGCAATTTAATTAAGATGTTGATTTACTATTTAATCCCCATTACCTTGTAAATATCCAGAAATCCGCACTGGTGGTCAAATCTGGTGTACAGTTCATTCAGCATGCTGATCACTTGCATCGGAGTGCACTGGGCACAAATAGCTGTAAAGCCAACAATGTCTGAAAAGAGCATGGTGACATCATCAAACTTTCTGGCCTGCACTTGCTGTCCTTGCCACAACTGTTGGGCTACATCACCAGGGAAAATAGAATATAGGAGATCCACTGTCTTCTTTTTCTCTTCTTCCAGGGCCTGATGAGTCCTTTCTAACGTGGCCTTTAATTTATCCATTCTCTTCTTCAAGCCATCTTGGGCCTTTGCCTGCTCACCCACCAGAATGACATCCCGGGTAGCATCGTGGATAGGGATGTCTGAGAGATGCAGCCCTCGACCCATGAGTTCATCCAACTTGTCCACACATGGGGAGCCCAAAAACAAGATGGAACTTGATTCTGGTACATGAATCATTTGTCCTTTGATTTCCATAACCTGTGAAATTAACATGGAATGCTGATTAGTAGTCTTCACACTGTAAGTTAACAAATAATAATGCTATTTGATGAAGAATTAGAAATGTTTCTTTTATCATGCTGACTTGGTGCACTCATGTATGCAAATTTTAATCTGATGTACAGTCAATATAAACTGCATGTTTCAGAATAGAAACAATTATTTTGTATCTCACTCAACTACCTTTTTTTTTTTTTCTTTTTTGTGGTACCGAGGATTGAACTCACAACCTCACACTTGCCAGGCGGGCGCTTATGCCACTGAACTAAATCCCCAGCCTCAACTACCTTTCTAAAGAGAAATAATAAAATGCAAAATGAGATCATGAAAAGTGAAGTAGGAAACATTTTCTATTCAAGATCAGATTACTCCCAGGTATGTAATGGAAATGTTTTATATGTCAATTTAAAAACTTTCAGACTGGGTCATAATACAATTAGGATAAATGTCAAAATAATTACATTTAACTGTCACTAAAATAACACTTCTTTCAAAATATAAATCTAAAAGCTTAAAATGAATCAAAATAATTATTTGGTGCCATCTACATTTATTTTAAACCAGTCATTGTTATTGGAAAATGTAAGTCACTACAACAGACTAAAGTAAACGGTTCACAAAGTATTAAAAGCAGCTTAAATCAAGTATTATTGAGCCAATATTAATAGAAAATAACTACTATTCAATCAATATGTTAATAAAACTAAAAACAAACCCCCAAATTAAAGTATCATTATAGAATTCAATCAATAAGTCAGAATCTGAGGGTTACTAATTTAACCCTCTCCCTCCACTTTATGTTCATTCTGTGAATTTGGGGGATTAACAGTTTAAAAAAATGTGAATGTAAGATTCAGTAATCTTAGCTGGGTACCTCAATGAGCAACTTCAGAAAGGATGAGCACCAGTACAAAAGGAAAAAAGACACAGGTTTTAGCTATCTATATAGTCACTTGGACTAAACTGAGGTATTTCAGCACACCTGGAGAAGAAATATTGTACCAGAAACAAACTGGAAAAGTGCTGACCAACTGGAACTGTGCACCAGTGTCATCTATGTCATTTTCCACCATTTCCACATGGAATGCATTCAGCAAAATTATTTTCCTTTATTTTTCATTTCATGAAGTAATTTGGCTTATTAATGAAACAAACAAACAGTATGTAACAATTATTGTTGAGTAGCTTTAATCTGTGATGGGTTCAATTTTCAGAACCCAAGGATTTTTTATGGAAAAAACTAAAATGTAGCCAGATACAGTGGCATATGCCTACAATCTCAAATCTGGCAGGCTGAAGCAGAAGGAGTTATAGTCCACTCTGGATTACTTAGCAATATCCTGTATCAAAACTTAAAAAATAATATAATATAAGCTTTTTAAAAAGCACTAGAGAGATAAATAAATGCAAAGCTTCTGTGTTCAGTTCCCAGTACCACCAAAAAACCCTCCAAAACCCAATAACTTCCCAGAATTCTATTAGAATTAATAAATTAATTAAATCAATCTGACAAAATCAGTAGTATTTTTATATACAAACAGCAACTATCCAAAAAAGGAACCAATAAAACAATTCCATTTAAAATAATATCAAATAAAAAGTAATAAATAAAAAGACAAATTGTAAAAAGTATTAGGCATCACTTTAACCAAGGAGAGAGCTACACATTGAAAATTATAAAGCACTGATGAAAAATACTGAACAAGAATCAAAAGGACAGCTAGACTATGGTTATGCATTGAAGATATTACAATTGTGAAAATGTTCACACTATAGAAAACCAAACATGAAATTAGTAAGCCATTACAAAAAAAAAAAAAGAAACAGTCAAAGAAATCTTAAACAAAGAACAAAGCTTAGGCATCATAGTTTCTAACCTTCAAAAAATATATTCCATAGCTAAACTAAGTGTAACAGCATGCATGCATATTAACAGACAGACAAACCACTAAAGTAAATAGTGAGTCTGGCAACAAGACCACATATTTACAATAAATAATCTTTGACAAAAATGTCAGGGGCATAGAATGAAAAAATGGCAATCTCTTTGATAAAGGGTGATGAAAAACTGAATATCCCACATGCAGAAGAACTTAACTAGACCCTTACAGAGACCCTTAAGTAGATCCCTACCTAGACCCTTAACTAGATACCTATCCATACAATAAAACATCAACACAAAAGAGATTATAGACTTATAAGGAATCATAAGGCCCAAAATTGTAAAGTTACTGGCAGAAAATATGGTGAGACAGCTCGTTGGTAATAGTCTAGGTGACAATGTCTTTGGAAGTGACTGTAAAGCTACAGGAAACAAAGTTAAAACATAAACAAGTAAGATTACATTAAACTAAAAATCTCTCTGGCAAATAAAACAACAGAATAGGAGACAATCTTCATAATGGGATGAAATATTTACAAATTAAACACGATTAAAAAATAAACATATAAGGTATTGAACTGGATAGCACAAATAAGCAGTAATGATTAAATGAACAAACAGCCTAAACATTTCTCAAAAGAAGACATACATATGGCCGAGAGGTATAGTCATGCATCTCATAATGATGCTGTGGTCAATGAAAAACCACACATAAAACAGTGGTCCTACAAGATTATATCATCCAGTAAAATAGCGATACTAGTTTGTATAAGACAGTGTGTATGTGTTCAAACACCAGTAAAGTCACCTAACAATGCATTTCTCACAATATATTCTGATCCTTACACAATGGAATATTATAAAAAATTTAAAATCATTATTCATGAGGGAAGTGCTAATTAAAGCCACAGTGAGATATCACTTCACATATAGTAGAATGACTATAATAAAAATGAAAGTACAATAAAAATACTTATACTATAATAAATACTATAAAGCTACAATACAATACTATAATAAAAATGTCAGTATGTTAGTTAGTATATCTATAATGTGGAGGTGCTGCAAAAAACTACAAGTCCGCCTACAATATGACCCGTTAATCTCATTATTTGTTGTGTATCTAAAGGAAAGGAAATAGCCATGTTGAAGTCATACTTACATCCCTATGTTAATTATAGCATTGTTTACAACAGCCAAAATATATAATTAACCTAAGTGCTCATTAAGGCACGAATGAATATATGTGGTATGCATACACCATAAAAGTACCATATATGTACAATGGAATGGAATGTCCTTCAGATTCCAGAAGGAAATCCTGTTACATACAACAAAGATAAAACTAAACACATTTAGGGACAAAATTTCAAACATAAAAATAAATAATAAATAAATACAAACAATACAGATAAGTTTTTATTTCCTTTTTGCAATTCATATGTATCTTTTCATTTGTGTGATTGTGCTTTGGTTCTTAGACTATACTTAGTGAAAGAAATGTTTTGAAACAAAACCTATTTTCTCCCAAAAGGCTACTGACATTTTAACATGCCACACTGACTGAACTGATGACAATTACTCATTCACTTATTTATTCATTGTTTTTATACATATTTATTATATATATATATATATATATATATATATATATAACCTCAAATTATACTATGCAGAAAGTTAATCAGAAAATCTCTCCCTTTTACTGAGATAAATGATGAAAAATGATGTATCTGTATGTTTGGGATAATAACATGAGGCTAACTAAACTATTATTTATTCAATAGATTGAAATTTTGACTTTGTTCAAATGTGATTATATAAAATTCATGTTTTTATTTTAAAAATTAATCAAAAAAGCTTCAAAACGTAACTTCTCACACATTTAGTCCTTCTGTACTTTATTTTTCCATGTGTTAGTATTTAGCTTTACTTGCACTCTATTCTTAGAAACTTACTGTAAAAATGGATTTGAATTCTGTCTTGATAGATAAGCCGGTGAACAACATAACCAAGACTATTATTCCACGATTAGATGCTATTTTTTAAGTCATAACAGAATTCATTTACTATTTAGATGAAACAGATTTGTGCTTTACGGTTAAAAGAAGTACACCAATAAATGTTTTTGGCATTCTTTAGAGTGAATCTTCCAATCATGAAATATTTATTTATTCATTTTTATATAACATGCATTAAATTTCACACTATGAGGGGAATATTAAATTGATATGTAGTTTTTAATATGCTGCATTGCACAGATTGCCTTTTTCCCCAAAGGATGAAAATGATTTTATTTTTCAGTACATTCCTATAATCAGTAAATCATACACATTAAAAGGCATAGAGTTGACTATCTCCCTTGTTTTGTTGCCTGCAGTTACCCTGTTCTTTTGAGGTGCTTTTTCACTACACTGTCACACATATATTGCATGGGGAATTTGGATTGTACTTTAATAGCTGGTATATATATATATATATTTAAATATTCTGCAAAAACATGAAATACTACCCTTTTTCCAAGAAAAGTTCTAACACTGTTGCATAAAGATAATGAAACCTCCTCATAGTAATAGAGAGCCTTTAGGCTGACTAAAATCTCCCTGACCACTGTGCCCCAGCCAATTTAACACAAGAATATTCCGATAGGCTAAAAGAAGATAAACTTTCAATTACTACAATTAATGTGACTATGTGTGTATGTGTATGCATTTATGTTAAAACTTTTTTCTCTTCCTTCATTTATCCTATGAATCAGAAATAGGGTATATATCAAGGGTGGCTGTTTAATTTGCTTCTTAGTAACAAAAAATATTTGGGCATTTTTGCCAAATTGTATTAACTATTTAAAAAAAAATCTAGAATTTCTGCTGTGATTGGCAAAACTTACTGTTACATACTGGAAAGCTTGGCAATAAATAAGTAAACTTAAAGAAATAATAATGCAGATGGAATTTTCTAATGCAAATAACAGGACAATTGCTTAGTCATGGGCATTTACCGTGGCTAAAGAAATTATAAAATCTAGTTTCAAGGCAAAAAATTTATATAAATTATCGTTGTTCAAAAGAAATTCCTATGATGGTGCAAATATGGT